TGTTTTAAATGTATAACCACAATTTTAGTTAAAGAAGAAAAATAAAAATTAAAGGCGTATTCGAATGTAGGGAAACAGTATTATTTATGCAACCGGAAAAGCATTAATATATGTGAAAAAGAACGCATAAAACTGTGACGTCACTATTGCTTATACATTAACTAATGACGTCATCTGCCGTGTTTAGAATGAAAAGAAATGAACTATTTCATTCAAATTTGATTTAGATCTACGTACACTATGAAATGTATACAATACAATTTTTCCAGCCTAAACTCATAACATTTATTTTATGTATTTGGATTCTAGATCTAGAGATTCTAGATCTAGACTAAATCTAAATCTAAATCTACGCAATAACTAGATCTAGACGTAGACGCTAAGATCTAGATTTAGACTCTAACTTCTCTAAAATCAATTCCAAAAATAAATTTCTATATTAGGACTAAACTATTTCAAGACTTATTTATTTTATACAAAATCTTTGTTTGGAACTGGCTAATTTGGGATAAAAAATTAATTTGAAAGAATAGGCATATTCGCGTAAGTTAAGATTTTAAAATACGTCTTTCATTCTCCGTATTTTATAAGGTGCCTAAATAGCGGAGGTGTTAGTGTACATTAAACCACGCAGGTGGTGCGGGTTCGAGACACAGCAAGTCAACTTGGTTAATGTATTATTTTTTATTATGCTCGGGCTAAACTTAAAAAAAAAATTCTTTTAGAAATCTAGATCTAGATCTAGATTGTCGGGTGTCCGATAGGGCACTTCCCGGCGCCGCAGGCGCTTCAAATTTGGCATGATCTTGCCTTGGTGCGACAGAACACGGGGGCCGGTTGGCCGAAAAGTCTACGATGTGGGGGTCAAAACTGACCTCGACTGACCGGTACCTTATATGAGCTATAAATCGAAAAAAAATGTCCACGGAGGAACCTCTTCATAACTCTTGAGGTCGTAGACCGACCTTCGGGCGAATTAATTAAGCATTCAAATTCTCAATGTTTTCGAAAGCCTAAGCGAAGCTGGGCAGCATGCCTAGTTTCATATAAAAACATACTCTCATTTCACCAGAATAATGAAATTAGTAATAAAAAAATAAAAATATGGAACTATCTCAATCCACTTTAGAAGCAGTTAGCTTTTTTTTCTTTCTTTACCAACATCATCGGCTCAGATGTCTCCCATTAGCCAGGCAGGCCTCGACACGACAAACTGAATCTAACTGGCTTGGATATCGGTTTGATTACAGTGTATGGGTCACTTCTGTCCTTTGGTTCCTACCAGCTTATCTTCCACCCAACTGAACACAGGGTAAACTCGTACCCCGCTGTCCAGTACCCGGCTCAACAGTAGGAAGCTAATAACTAAAAACTACGTCACTCAGGTCAAATTAATGATTACTGATGTATAAGGAAATGCATTCTGAATAAAATATCATGCCCCTTTTAACGACATTTGAAAAAGTCAGCAGTTGGGCATTGGCAAGCATGAAATGCAGGGTTCGTGCGGCCTCCTGAAATTCCAGGAGGTCCTGGAAAACTCCTGGAATCTTAAAAACGTAAAAATCTCCTGGAATTCTCCTGGAATTTGAAAAAATATAAAAACCTCCTGGAATTCTCCTGAAATTTAAAAAATTCTCCTGAAATCTCGTGAAATTTTATTAACCCGCGGCGCAAAACCCGACCGAAATTATTTGATTTTGTTCCGCCAATAATTGAATAGTAGTTTTTAAATGGGACGAAAATCAACGCATCGGCCGTCGTCCGACTGAATCGCACTGCCGTGATCTACACAGCCGAGTGTGTGGTCACGTGACGCTAGGCGATTAATCCGAATGGATGATACTATAAACAATTTCTAAAGATAGACAGGCTTACATGTGTTCCCGTGTTTGACTTGTCGGCTTTTGGATTTTTAAAGTAGACAGGCATGTTTCATAACTTTGTCTTAAACTATTGAAACAGCAAAAACAAGTTGTAGTAGTATTTACGGCTCAGGACTAATCGTCAAAATTAATCTTCTTTAGAAAACCCGGAAAGCTGCAATCCGATCAAACAATGCTGGTTCGCGTAACGTTTCATTATTTTATTTTATACATTAATTTTTCGTAAAAATAGCTATAGAAAATAAATTAAATTTTTCCAGTGGCTCTTTTTTTCGGTTGACTAAAAATTGTTAATACGCTTAATTCTAGCTTGCCAAATCAACCAAAATGGGCTGGGGTGGGTGGGGGAAGACACTGACCATCCTACACGGTATGTAACACCCAACGTAACATCTATAGTCTATAGCCTCAACCCGCCCCCACTACTCCGTGCCGTGAAGCGACAAGCTGACGATCGTCGCCTTTGATGTTGTGTAACACTCGTACGGTGGTTTCATACCCCACCTCCCTTCCCCCTTCACTTTGTGGAGTTGATGTTACTAATCCTTGGGCATAGATCAAGAAATCTTGCCAGACTTTTGTCTCTGAAATTATATAATATTCGTCTGACACGTTCATCGGGTTGGCCGACTAGCCTAGCATCATTGGATTTGGCATCCAAAAATCAATAAAATATCACGAAATGATATTAATTGGTGAAGTCTGCTTGCATTTATACCTCTTTTATAGTGAAAAACTCTTTAAAATTTGGTCCATACCCTCCCAGTATTTTTCCTCTTTCAGGGTCTATCCGGGTTGTCTGAAAAATCTGCTATTTTTTTTAATGACAAAAAAAAACTATCATAAATTTTTTGTTTATGGTCAGATTTTGAAAATTCTAACTGGTCTGTAGTCAGATTGATAGCCTCTATCCTAATATGTAACTTTTACTGAAATTAAATTTTTGTATTGGCTTAGCTAATTAAATGTATTATTAAGTACGCTTTTTTAAAAAAATGTACAAATTGGGTTTCTTTTTTGTTTTTAAAATCTCCTTGAATTTTTTTTTTAAACTCCTGGAAAAGTCCTGGAATTTTATTTGAACTTTTGAGCATGAACCCTGGAAATGGTTGCCTAGTGGCTGTACACAGCTCGGCTGTTGGGCTGGGCCTGGTGCCCAAGCGGCTGTCCGTATACTTTCTACTGCACCTATTCTCACTGTTCCCGTATGAGTTTTTTTTTCTTCTGTTTAAAATTGTGTTTCTTTACAGTAGAATTTCGTTATGAGTTTTGAAGACGAAATGATATAAATATAAATATTTGTGCAAGGAGCTAGAGAGCCGCATATTGACATCAAAAGAGTCGCAATCGGCTCGCGAGCCGCAGGTTGCCGACCCCTGAAGTAGACTAAATTACTCAGTTAGGATCTAGATTTTATATATATATATATATATATATATATATATATATATATATATATATATATATATATATATATATATATATATATATATATATATATATATATATATAGGGGCCCTACTTTTTCTTTGCGGGGGAGCCTTTTTTTCTAGTTCCGCCACTGATCTGATCTACTATAATGATTATTAGGTAATCTATCACTTTAGGTACTTAAAATCGCCAGCGACTAGTAATGTGAAAAACAGGTGACTCCTTAATTTTAGGTCGATTCTAGCCGGAAAAAGATAGACATTCTCACTGGAGAGAAACTTTGACTTGCCTTCGCGGCAATTTTTTTGATGGTACTGCGCATGCGTGTGTTTACAGCTGCAGAACCCTAACCTAGCCCTAACCCTAAGTCCTAATCATAGTATTACTTACTAATGTGAAGGTCTGGTTGGTTGCTAACAACAATATTAGTTGGTCCCGTTACAAAACCGGAAGTCAGAAGCTGACCCTGAAACGTCACGCTCCGTTTTTTTTTTGTCTTTAAGTTTTTTGGGCGGTCCTCTATACAAGAAATGAAAAACTGCTAATCTCGCATAATCTCTTCATTATTTTAATGTGAGATGCCATTTTAATTTTATAGTGCTTACATTTGTTTGAAAGTGTGCACTAGGCCATGGGTCGGCAACCTTTTGAAGCGGAAGAGCCAAAAGTTACAATTTTCAAAATTTCCTTGCTTTAAAGAGCCACTAACATTTTTTTATTTCAAGTATTTTATTTTTTTTCATTAAGATTAGGTAAAAAAAATGATTTGTTGTTTAAAATAAATAGCTTTATTTATGAAATAATATTTATTCATATAAAAACATACGCTTGTTTTGCCAGAATTATGAAATAAGTTATCAAAAAATAAAAATTTAGGACTTTAGAAGCAGTTAACTTTTTTCTTTCCTTACGGACATCACCGGCTCAGGCAGTGTCTCCCATTAGTCATGCATGCCTCAACACGGCAAACTCCCTGACTAACTGGCTTGGATACAGGTTTGATAACAGTGTATCGGTAAATTCTTTGGTTCTCACCAGGCTTATCTTCCACCCAACTGAACGCAGGGTAAACTCGTACCCCACCGTCCAATACCCAGCTCAACAGTAGAAAGCTAATAACTAAAAAAAAACCATCACTCACGTCAAATTAGTGATTACTGACAGATAGGGAAATGCCTTCTGAATAAAATAACATCCCCCATTTAACGTTATGTGATAAAGTCGGCACTTGGGTAGTAGTAGGCATGGAATTGTTGCCACCGGGCTGGCTACAGCACGGCTGTGGGGCTGGGCCTGGTGCAAAAGTGGCTGTCAGCTGTCCGTATACTTTCTACTGCACCTTTTCTCACTGTTCTCTGATGAGTTGTTTCTTCTGTTTAAGCTTATGTTTCTTTACAGTATAATTTTTTTTTATGAGTTTTGAAAATGAAATAATATAACTTAGTATTTGTGCAAGGAGCTGAAGAGCCGCATCTTGACATCAAAAGAGCCACATGCGGCTCGCGAGCCGCAAGTTGACGACCCCTGCACTAGGCCATGGATACAATGGTTTGCTATAGTCTCTCACTGAATCAAACCCATTGCCCCGCAGGGTGCTATTTGATGCCCTGGGCTATCCTATGAGCACTATGGCGCCTATGTTTGTTTTAAGGATCACCCTACAATATTGACACGATGGCACACGACCTTTGATAATTAAACCATGCCAGGGGTGGTATGCGGCTTCCCTGCAGTAGTAAAACTGGGGCACCCAAGAGTGTCCCTCCATGTTCCTGACACCTGGGCCGTCGCCGAAGTGTGTTCTACTTCACTATTACAGAAAGTGATAATCTCACAGTCAAGGCAAACCCCTGTGTCGACAGATATGATTCAAGAAATATAGCTCAGGCATTGTTTACATTTAAATAGTACAGTGTTGGAAAACAAGGTCACACGTCTAAGAAAATAGGAGTGGTAACGCAATGATAAAGCCCTCTTAAAATATTACATCAGACTTTCTTCTGAAACATTAGCAGCGCGCGGTAATGGCATGCTAGTGTACTCCGATGTTAAACTACCAATTTACTTTATGAGTAAGTTACAAACACATTACAAAATAATTTTTGCCATCCATTAACCATTAAATGGTAATGACTATTGTAAGTATGCTCTATTAGTATATTATTTATTTTATTTTACAGGTTGATGATGCAATCAAACATTTTGATAGTGATGAAGCTGCAGTAAGTACTTATTTTTAAGCTATGTCATTTATCTCTTTGTTATAATATTGCTTACTTAATTTGTTTGTAGGTAAAAAAAATAATTTTTAAAAGTTAAAAAGCTATTCTCTGACCTTGCCATCACAAGTCAATTGTATATGTGATTTTTGCAATTAAAGTGTGAACATGCTCTAATCCTAGCCACTTTAACTTTTCATCAACTTGAGTTGACTACTAATTGAATCGATTTTGAAACCCTTAGGCAATAATTCATTAACTTTATATATATATATATATATATATACGAGCCGGCCCGCGGGATAACATACGCCGCTATTTAGTTGTTTCTAATTTTCAATAATTCATAATTTGTGAATTCGACAGTACCAACGCTGACACTGAAAATATTTCTTTAAAACACTATAAGTAGCTCGTTAAGGACCATAACCCCCCCCCCCCTTCCTTCCCTCCCCCCCTCCTCCCCCCCCCCCCCCTACGTTTAAAATCGTTGGCTCTGCTTGTAAACATTTAGAGTGAACACAGCTCACTAAAACCATGGGAGAGCGTTTGCAGCTTGTTTTCTAACGGCTCGAAGAAGAGAATTATATATATATATATATATATATATATATATATATATATATATATATATATATATATATATATATATATATTTATTGTGAGGTCTCGGTCGAAAACCGCCCTTCTAAAAAAAAAATTCAAATTTCTGTTTTTTATATAAATCAAAAGCCAGTATGATTCCCCATAATACCCCCAAAATATTATAGAAATCTGGTGAATGATCATCGAGATATAATCATCTGAAGGAAACAACTATTATTTCTAGCGCTAAAAATCTCGGCGCAAAACGAATATCGCAATTTCCGCAGTATACTTTTAATCAGCAATGCAGTCGCACAATTTAACACCACAGCAATCAAGGTATTTATAGGTAAGGAGATTAGATTAGTTATGGTGTAAGCTATTCTATTACATTTTATCATTTAAAAGAATAAAAAATAAAGAGTATTTTAGATTTTTGAGAAACAAACTGTTTTGTTTACATTTTTATTAGGCTTTGAAACTAGGTCTAAATTCTAGAATCTAGTGTAGATCTAGAGCTCAATTTAAAAATACTATCAAATCGAATTATCACAAACTTGTGCTATACATATAATTATTTTTTATTCATTACTAACTTTAGATGGAACATTTATCTTCATGTTAAAAAATGTTTTATGGTAGTTACCAAATTATGACCTACATGTTAGACAACAAAATAAACTACTTGGAACTTAAATTTAAATGTTAAATGGTAATTAGCATGGTATATTGATAAGTATTACATGTTTACATTTTAGATCAAACTTGAAATTATTTAATCACATGATCTGAAATTGTATTTACAGATGCTACCATACAGCAGAGGGAGAAGGCTGATTCAACTTAGTTTAAAATCTCAAGCTGTCAAGCAACACAATTATATTATTTCATTATTCACAAAACTCTTCTCGTCTGACTTAACAAATAAAGATCAGTTTAATCTCTCTCAAGAGACCAGTCTTACCATATAAAAGACCAGCCTCTCTTAACTGACCAGTCTTACCATACATCAGACCAGCCTCTCTCAACTTGACCAGTCTTGTCATACAAGAGATCAGCCTCTCTTAACTGATCAATCTTATCTGACTAGTATTACTAAAGAACAGACCAGCCTCTATCAACAGACCAATCTGGCCTTTCAAGAATTCAATGTGACAGACACTGCAAAACAACCCTGATGCTACTATCTACTTCAAGGGTTCCCAAACTGTGGGTCGCGAACTGAACCCCAGGGGGGTCGCTAAGGGCTTTCTGGAAGGTCGCCAACTGGTAGACTAAACCTTAGCAATGAAAAAAAAACAACTAATATCACAGGAAATTGAATAGAGAAGAAACAATGCACACCGTACAAAGCTCTTCTCAGTCATGAGTCTATCTATGAAACTTTCAAAACTAAAAAGTCATTTTGAGACAAGTCATTCCTAACACACCAAAAAAGAAGCTGTGGGTACTCAGTGTTACTGCAGTCGGTTGTTGGTGTCACTGCTGTGGGTACTCAACACTGGCGCCATTGGTAATCGATACCATTGCTGTAGGTACTCAGTCTTAGCAGTAGGTACTCAGTGTCACTGCTGTGGATACTTAGTGCTGAATCTGTGGGTGCTCAGTGTCATTGATGCTAGTACTCAGTGCTGAAGATGTGGGTACTCAATAACATTGCTATTGGTACTCAATGCCAGTACAATGTCACTGATGTGGGTATTCAATAGCACTGCAATGGGTATTTTTGTCAGTATTAAACCTTACTGTATTTATTACGAGGTGTAGGTCTATGCTCAGTGTTATTATTGTCAAGGTCACTGTGAAGACCTTTCTTTGGTGGTATCCAGGATAGTGGTCCACCACCATACATATTGTTGTCTATTTATTTTATATGTTCTCCTAATATTTTACAATACTATTTCAAAAGTTAAATTTGTTAAATTGTACCCAGCAGCATGATCACATTATTCCAGCATCGTTCTCTCTTCATATGCCAAGGTCAATTAAACAGGTGAACTCTACTTCACCTACTGCATGACCCATAATGTTCTAAAGTGCACTTTTATATATAGGCAAAGACTTTTTTGTAAATCCTTTACTTATTTATAATAATACTTGAAGAAAGGACAGCTTGGCAAGGGATCTTATTTCCATATACCTGCTTTGCACCCAAGTACAATTTTATGTCTTGTTACCTGATGTCGCGCTTTTGCAACAAACCAAAATCAGAAGATAACTTCCAAAATTATTCTCATATCATTATGTGATTTATACTGTTTATATACAGAAAAAAGTGAATAATAAAGCTATTAGTATTTTTGTTGTAAAACCACCTGTTATTAATACAGGGATGTGACTTTTCCGAATTTTAGCCGTGATTTTCTTACAGTTTCTAATACTGTTGACTCTCTACAAGCTCCCTAATAAAAGTCAATAGTATTATCTAATCAATAGTAATATAACTTTTACTTCGGCGCCCCACGTTTTTCATCGCTTATAGTAGAGTGATCGCTTGCATTATTGTGATGTATAGCATTTATTTTCTACTTTTTAGTTCAATCAGAAAACGTGGGTTTTTTAAAACTTTTTTAATGATTATTGTTTCTGTTTCAGTTGCGATTTTCCTCCGCTGATTTAATTTTCGCCGAATTTTTCCGCCGACTTTCAATTTTTGTCGATTTTTTACAAAGTTTTAAAAATTAGGAAAATAAACCGGGAGTGATCTCCCCTAAACTTTCTCGAATATTCTAATATAACACTACAGGGGATGGCAACTCGGGATATAGACTTCTAGACATGATTTTTAATCCATTTTAAATACTCACATTTCTTAAAATAGAATATAATCTCGTAGAAAAAAGAAATGCACACTAAGTGAACGCTAAATAATACGTATGCTTCGCTTCGTAGGCCTACAGATTAAAAAAAAATACTAAACTCAACGTGACTACGACCGTGTCTTGTTTGTGGAAGAAAAAATACGTTCAGACTGTTTTTAAATTTTTAATAAGGGGTCTTCCATAAATAACGTCACATTCGTAAGATAGTATAACGTCATATTTTTGTATTTTAAAAAAGTAATGTTAGAAACAACTGCATTTTAGCCGCTATTAGAAAACTGTTGTAAAACATTGTAATAGAAATTGAATAAAATACCCTTTGTTGGTCGACCTCAGTCAATATTTTTGAAAAAAATCGATGCTTAAAAAAAAAAAATTAATTTTGAGGAGGGGGGGGGGGAGCATTTGTTGGCTGAGGTGTAACTTCATTATAGGGGGGGGGGGGAGTCTGGCTTTTGTAGGAGAGAGGGGAGGTAAATATCGTCAAAAAACGTGGATGACCCCTAACACTGACAATTTACATTTATTCCAAAAAAACATAAATATCGATGTGGCTTGGCTATCAAAATGATTAACTTTGGTTCACACATCAGACCCTTTCTAATTTTAGCTAACCTGGTCCATTTCATTTTTCCATCACATGAACCTAAAATTTTCAAATTATAACTAATCTTAATCTAGGGTCTTTACAGTTGGAGATAAATATTTTTACCAATCCAATCTTTAAAAGAATATATATTAGGCATTAGACCCCCTATTAAATAAACCGGTAGTGATCTCCCCTAAACTTTCTCGAATATTCTTATATAAAACAACAGGGGATGGTAACTGGGGATATAGCTATGATTTTTAATCCATTTTAAATACTTAAACTTTTAAAAATAGAATAGAATCTCATAAAAAAAACATTGCGCACCAAGCAAACGCCGAATAAAAAGGCGTATAATAGTGCGCAATATTATTAGTACTTTAAAAATTTACATTAGTTTTTTGAGAAATCGGAAGTAGCGTAAATTACTACTTCCAGTCAACGGAAATTACTCAAAATTTAACAGAAGGTAGAGAATTAGATCTTTTACTTACATGTGAAATTTCATTTATCTATCTGAAATAGTACTCAAGTTATAGGCTTTTGAAAAATTCAAAGTAGGAAAAGTACCACTTCCGGTTGTCGGAAATCGCTCAAAAGTTGATACGGATCTACGATTTTGATATAATACTTATATATGAAATTTCATCAACCTAGCTGTAACGGTACTCAAGTTATCGTGTTTACACACGGACAGACACACACACAGACACACACACACACAGACATACGGACAAGATTGCAAAATTATGTTTTTCCGTATCAGTGAGGTGTAAAACGTCGAGAACTGTAAAAATCTCGATTTTTTTTTTTTGCACGATTACAATACTTTCTCTATACTTCGTATATACGAGAAAGTAAAAATTGAAAATAGGAGTACATCTAGAATCTACATAGATTAGTACAGTTTAAATTAGCTTCATGGTAAAATAAAACTTAATTGCTACTTTTGTTACATTGTAGTTTTTAAAAAGTTGTTTATAAGGTAAACATTAAATTGCTATTAG